AAATATTATAATACATAACTTATTTTATACTTCAAGACTGGATATTTAAATTCACTCCTTTTTGTCAAGATATATGTGTTATTGTCGTCGGACGCATCACTATTGAAAGTTAGAAAAAATACACCATTGATTAGATGAAAATTTTGGCCCACTATCGCCATTATTGCGGAACGAATATTAATCAAATAAAAATACGAAACGATTATTCAAGGAAAAAAAACAAAAAACAAAACATATAAACAAAATAATTGTAGAACTAGACCTTACGAATAATGAACATTCTAGCATGTATTTTAGTGGCCTATTTGTAAGGAGTGAAACAAACAAATTCAACCCATCCTTTTTTTTTTTTGGGAAAAAACCAATCAATAAAACTCCAAATGGAAATGCACTAAAAAAAAAAAAGACTCCAAATGGAAATAAAAATAAATGATTTTGTTTAATTAATTAATTAAAACTCAAATGAAAACTATCATAATTGATTTGATTTGATTAATTATTGAAGACTCGTATTAAGAACAATCAATTTGATTTTATAAATGGTTTAAATTAATTATTTAAGCTTGAAATTTTAATTTTTTTTATAACAAGACATGACTACATATACATATATATTAAAAAGAACCTATGTAAACATAAAATTGAATTATAATTCATATAATCTATAAAAAGATAAAAATTATATATATCTATGAATTTTAAAAAAATACATTTACATTACAATTTAGAAAACTTCAATATTTATAATTGTTAAAAACAATTAAATTGTAAAAAAAACTGAATAATTGGAAATTAGAAAAAAAAAATATGAAAGTAAGAAAGGATAGTAAAAAAAATATATGAGAGAGAGAAATGGTAAAACACATCAAAATTAAAAAGAAAAAGAAAGAAGGAAAAAAGATTGTGGGACCTACCAAATCTCAAAATTTGAGATGCCAGGTTACGTGAAGGGACAAGAGAAAAGATATATGATTTGACGTGAGACTCACCTGAATAAAGATAAATAGATAAAATAAAATAAAATGAGAAGTTGAATAGTAAAGAAAGGGAATAGTAAATTTACTGTTAAAATATGGAGCTTTTAAATCTTTCACGTGAAGAAGGAGTGGAGTGAATTTTTTAACAAGGTTTATAATATAAGTCGGCTGCTCCTCTCATTGCCAAATGATTTTGAGGATCTCTTGGTTTGAGGTATATATCAATTACCGCTAAAGTATGATTGCTTTGAAAAAGAAAATGGATTTAAACAAAGTTTATAATATAAGTGGATTACTCTTCCATTGCCAATTAATTTTGAGCGGTAATCCATGAATATTTTCTATCAATTTGTTCTTTTATGGTTCCGCTTCTATTTTATTCAATACTTCCTAAATTTATATTCTATTCCTTCTTTTTAGAGCTCCTCATCAATCTTGACATTTCAATTAAGTTTTCGTTTAGTTCATTTAGATTCTAAAATTTAATTAAACGAATAAAATAATTTATGAAAATTAATAAACATTTGTAAGTTAAATTTATAAAAAAAAAAAAAGTGACCTAATNAAAAAGTGACCTAATGAATGTTAACATTAACATTACGGTGCTCCAAATCCTCTAAACTCCCCACATGCTTATAATTCATAGGTCTATAATTGAAATTCCTATATGCTAGATGTAAATTCCGTAATTTAATGAAATGAGCAAAATAACTTGTAGAAATTTATGTGTTTGGTTGAATTTGAAACAAAATTTGGTCCAGTTTTTTATGGCTTTGCTCATGGCTACATATCAACGATGACTTAATATGAAAATAAAATTGATTGACTTAATATGAAAATAAAATTGAGTAATCTACGGACCATTATTATGAGTTTAAATTAGAAAAAATCAAGATAGATATATTAATTAAAGAATTGAGTTCAATAATAATTTATGGAAATTAATCCAAGTTTAGACCCATTTGTCTCAACAGGATAGAGAAATTAATTTAAGAGTAAAGCTAACAACCGTTATTGGATTTTTAGATTCTATTATCATAGTTTCTAGAAGCTAAATGGTTGAAGTCTTTAGATTTGAGAGATTGTATTGCCCATTATATTTATCGTAATATCATAGTAGAGTCTATGGTTGGATGAAACTGTATAAATTAAATTTATTTGTGTCGTTTATGTGTTTTTCTTATTTTTGTTTTATTATAATTATTGTGGTTAGCTTTTTCACTAATGGACTGTGAAAGAGTAATTTTCCCAACAATTAATGTAGTAGTAAGCAAAACAACCAAAATGTGGAAGGGGAGAATCCTCTATAAAATAGAAAAGAGAGAATGACCGAAAGTACAAAACTGGTGGGGTGGCATACTTGTAATTAATTTAGAAATTGGTGGGTACTAATTCAATACCAAATTCGACTTCAATAGGTTCAAATGTGAATGCCCCGCCCACACATAACGTGTTGTTGTACACAAAAAAATACAAGTACTTCCAAACCATTTATTTCTCTCTTGTTGGTCTCAAATTCGGTGTGCGATTGAATACGATGTCTGGATTGAGTCGAGTCGACTTCATCAAAGTTTTAGAAAATTGAAAATAATAAAATTCAGCCATTAAACGTGTGGCATCAATGGAAATATTTCAACAGAAAATGATACAAAAAGGACCTCATAATTTTTAAGTGAAACTAGTAAACTCTAATTAAATGCTACAAAAAGCCTAAAACTTGAAAAAATTATAAAATAAAATGATATAACAAAATCACATAGATACTCATTTTTGAGTTTTTAGGAAAATTGCTTAGGATAAATAATTGTGTTGTATGCCATTTCCAAACTCTTGACTTTGACCAATAATTATCTTATTTTTAACGATTTTTTTGAAATTTTTTATTTAATTTACATTTATTTGTTATTACTCTTAAAATTAACCCTGAGGTTGTTGATGGATATAAATACTAAATCTTTGTATTTTAAATGTGTAAGACCTAATTTGATATATTTTACCACACATCAACATAACTCTACTAAAGCATCAAATTTATTTTCTTTATATAATTTGGATGATAAAATTAATTTAAAAATTATAATTAATATAAATAAATAAATAAATATGTTAAAAAAATAAATTAATTAATAAACTAAGAGAGAAAGAGATAGACGTAAAAAGACACTTTTTTTTTTGTTGTGGAGGTAGAGTATTAAATTTAAATATACATTTTTATCCCTATTTCTACCTCTATGAATTCGAGATTGACAATGGATAAATCCACATTTTCATTATCGCAAAAGAATTGACATATATAAGAAACAAAGAAAATAGCATAACTCAATTGACATGAATTATTTCTATTCTATTTCACTTCCAAATGGGGTTCTTTTCACCCTTTTCTTACGGTACTACTTCACTATCGGTCATCTAGGAATATTTAGCCTTGTAAGGTGGTCGTTGCTGATTCACACGGTATTCCACGTGTTCCATGCTACTCGGATTAGAGCGTAAGTTACCATAGTTTAGGCGACGAGCGACAATCGTTTTTGCTTTCTTTTCCTCTGGCTACTAAGATGTTTCAATTCTCTCTTACGTGCCCATGGATTCAGCTGACATGTATTATTTCTATGGAGGTCAGAAGTTCGTATCTCTAAATTGTTGCTCGGAGAAAAATTGTTTTTAGGCTAAAATATACTTTTGGTCCCTGAACTTTGAACAAATAATAATTTAGTCCTTTAACTTTCAAAAGTAACGATTTAGTCCCTGTACTTTAAAATTGGTTACAATTTAGTCCCTACCGTTAAAAATTAGGTTATATTTAACAGAATTGTGACATGACAAATCCATGTGTACAATAAATTGTCCCGTCGTTGGTTCAATATTGGGTTGGTTTAAAATTAAACCGGTTTAAGATTAAAAACAGAATAATTGTAAAAAAAAAATACTTCCTCCACCCCGACTTTCTCAAAGCCTCCCACCAAACCCACTCTACCGCCGACGTCGTCATCTCCGACACCGCCTCCATCTCCGACGAAAACCTCGTGGTTTCCCTCTCCTCAGATTTGAGCTCTCTAAGCCATGGATATGGAGAATTCAACTTAGGCGAAAGAGACATCATAGTGAAGAACCAGAGAGGAGAGGAAGTTACAGAGGATGTGCTTTCGTCTTGAAACATTGTTAAGTGCAGCAAACCGAGGACCAATTTTTGGAACAGAGGAGAAAAAAAAAAGCAACAGAGTGAGTTAAATCCTCAGTTTCCCTCATCATTTCCTAGAGAACTCATGGAAGATCGTACGAACATGAAGATGAGGATTAAAGGACAAAAGACAAAATGGGTTTGCTATTGAGAATAATTACACAGACTAGAGAGAGAGGGGAAAAAACCCCAAAAAATAAACACTGAATATACTGAAATGGGTGAGAGAGAGGAAGCTGAAGATGTCAATCAAAAGATGAATATAAACAAACTTGTTAAGCTACAAGAATTAGGAGACAACCAGGAAAGAAATACTTGGAATCTGGGTTGCGAGCGTTTGTGGGTTTGCTCTGTTTGTATCATTGAGTCTGAATCTGAGCTTGGTTTTTTAAATTAAAGCTGTGTTTTGAAAATGCTCCGGATGAAATGTCGATGGAACAACGAGGTTTTTGTGGGAGATGGAGGCGGTGCCGGAGACGACGACGTCTGCGTTGGAGTTGGCTTGGACGACTCAGAAGGCAGTCGGTGGAGGGAGGATGTGAAAAAGTCGAGGTGGAGGACGTATTTTTTTTATACAACTATTTTTGTTTTTAATCTTAAACCGGTTTAATTTTGAACCAATCAAATATTAGCTGGACAATTTATTGTACACGGGGATTCGCCACGTCACAATTCTATTAAATCTAACCTAATTTACCGGAGTGACTAAATTGTAACCAATTTTAAAGTACAAACACTAAATCGTTACTTTTGAAATTCAGGGACTAAATCGTTACTTTGTTTAAAGTTTAAGGATCCTGTATTTTAATATTGTTTTTAACTTAATTACATTTCCATCACATGTTTATAACGTTTTATCAATTGAACTAAAAAAAAATTACACCCAACGGTTATAAATATTTACCAATTCTGCTTCTCCCTCTACAACACTCAAGCTTTTCCTCGCTTTGCCATGGCCGTCGACAAGCTTCTGCGAGGCATTGCAACGAGCCCCAAGAAGCTCCATCTTCTCCAGAACGCACCGGGCCTCAGAGGAAAAGCCATCACTCCCATTTCTGAAGATGGGTTGCTCCAATTTCTCCAATCCATTGCTCTCAGTCTCAACAACCAACATTCCGATGACCCCTTCTACGTCTTCGATTTGGCCGTTCTCGTCCGCCTAATGGACCGCTGGACCCGCTCGCTTCCCGCCGTCCGCCCTTTCTACGCCGTCAAGTGCAACCCTGACCCGGCTCTCCTCGGCGCCATGGCGGCCCTCGGTTCCAATTTCGACTGCGCAAGCCGGGCCGAAATTGAAGCCGTACTCGCCCTCGGTGTCTCACCGGACCGGATCGTTTTCGCCAATCCTTGTAAAGCAGAGTCCCACATCAAATTTGCCGCCTCCGTCGGCGTCAATTTGACCACTTTCGATTCGATCGAAGAAGTCGAAAAGATGCGGCCATGCCACCCGAAATCCGCCCTGTTGATTCGGATCCAACCGCCGGAAGAAGGGGGCGCCCGGTGCCCGTTGGGCACCAAATTTGGGGCGCTTCCGGACGAAATTACCCCCCTGCTCCAAGCCGCAAAAGATGCTAATCTCGCCGTCGCYGGCGTCTCTTTCCACGTCGGGGGTGGGGCCACTAAAGCGGGGACTTATTCGGCCGCCATTGCAGCCGCGAAAGGTGCTTTCGAAACGGCGATCGGACTCGGCCTGCCGCCGATGAATGTGCTCAACATCGGCGGCGGATTCTCTGGACACTGTTTTGACGGGGCAGCAGCTGCCGGAGTTGGAGGTCGGCGATTGGCTGGTCTTTCCGAATATGGGTGCCTACACTGCGGCGGCGGGATCCAATTTCAATGGCTTTTGTACGGCGGCGATCAAGATATACCTTGTCTATTCGAATTTCAAAACGGCGGCCTACTGAATTGAAAGTCCGCTTAAGCTATAAGCTGACGAGGAAGATGATTGCCAAAAGACTCCAATTCTAAGAAAGCCTCGTGTTTTTAATATAAATATGATATATAAGTATAATGTTGCTATTTATTTATTTTATTTTATAATTATAGATAAAATTTAAAATATAAAATAATATACCTTTTCATAATATATAATATATACTTATATAGTATATCTATAAGCTTTGCGTTTATTTTCACATAGAAAAAGAAAAAAATAAAGTTGATCTACCATAAGAAAGAAAATAAGAGAATAAACACCGGTGTGGTGTTGGTCGATCACACTCCGATGCTTAAGTCAGTTGATGAGTTTTAAGCGGGGAAGAGAGGAAATGAGCAAATATCGAGTGAATTACTTGAGAAAGAATGACATACCTCCCTTCTATTTATAGGTTTTGGTGGCAGTGTGAATAGGCGTTGGAAAAGGAAGCTTGTCAAAGTCAATTGCCGCTCTATAATTGGCTCTATAATGAGAATAATAGATGCACAAAAGCGTCGATGGATCCCTTGCATCCAATATCTATGGTGACGACTTCATTGGAGGTGGTTAAAGAAAGTTGTTGAAAAAGGGGTGCGACCCACTAGGCCTCACAAAATCGAGACCCACCACTCTTAGGCGGTGGGCCCACCCAACTTCCCCCTCCTAGCCTTTCATTGTGCGACTGGGAGGGAAGTGTCGTTATGCCATGCATTGTGCAACCAACGGGTGTTTCTTTTTCAATGATTTGGGCCCAACAACTTATGAGCTGCCAAGCCCCTTTCCGACAAATTTACGGGCTACAATTCCCAATAAAATACGAAAATTATGCTAAATAGCAAAAATTAAATATGTATTTATACGAATTGTTTTTTGTTCAATTTTCAATAATGTCACAAATATAAAAAGTTTAGATTGCCAAAGCAAGTATAGCTCAGTGGTAATTGACATAATCTCCAACTAGGAGGGTGTGAGTTTGATCCCCACCGTTGCATAAAAAAAATTGCATAAAGTTAGGATTATTTATTTATTTTTCTTTTTTTCAGCTGATTACTGATTTTGTCCATTGAGTAGTTTTCTAACTCCTCCGGCCTCTCTCTCATCAATTTTCAACCTTTTCTTGAGTGGATTTGATGTTACTTTGTTTGTTATTGTTTCTAAAGTATTTTTTATATATTACACTCAATTGCAGAAAATAAATATATATTTATTTTAAAAAATCATAAAAAAATAAATATACTTTGTTTGTGCTTCCTCTATCAATTTTTTCTTTTGATTCGGCTTCTATTTTTTTGCAATACTTTCAAGATTTATATTTATTCTTCCTTTTTAGTTCCTCATCAATTCTGTTTTTATCATTTGTTCTTTATTTTTTCCTTCATAAACTTGCATTTCAAAATGAAGTTTACATTATTTCAATATCATTTACTTAAATTTAAATTCTACAATCTAATTAAACAAACAAAATAATTTATGAAATTTTTAAAAGACTGAACGAAAGGTTAACATTGACATTGCGGTACTCAAAAGCCTCTAAACTCCCCACATGCTCATAAATACATATGTCTACCATTGAATTTCATAGGTGAAAATAGTAAAAAACATTTGGGTAAAATTCTGCCATTAAACGTGTGGTATCAATGGGAATATTTCGATGGAACTAGTGAACTATAATTAAAGGTTAGGAAGAGCCCAAATGACCAGTTCATTTTGGAAAAAAAAAATTTATAAATGTTAGAGGTCAATTTTCACTTGGCACATGGCAAGTCCTTATATGATTAGCGTTACACGTGGCACTAAAATCATAGAATCAAGCTTCTTTACCTCGGCCTTAACATTTATTAAGGACCCAACAGTGTAAGCAGCCAAGCTGACTTTATCATTTTCTGATTTTGTTCCCGATCTTTGATCGAATCGATCTGTAGATGTTTTGTCTAGTCTCACTCTTCGACACATTTCTTGACAGCACGTCGCATTTCTTGGTTACCTTAAAGAGCTATTAGAGTCCTGTCAGAGGCCCTACCTGAGAGCCTTCCTATAAATAGAGATCATCTGCCTCTATCCCAGGTACACAGATACTATATTCTCTCTTGAATACAGCTTGGCCATCTACTGACTTAGACGTCAGAGTGTCATATATTTTGTAGGTCTCCTGCTCGACAAGTTTTCAGTTCATCCTCCAGGTTATCTTTCATTCGAGTCGAAGTTCATGAACTTGATCATTTTCTTAACAATATATTTTAACTTCTCAAATTCGATGGTTAGACTTTTGTGAATAAAAACAATAGAAGGTTTAGTTGAATAATAACAAAGAGGAATTGGCTATTGTTGTGAATGAGCATGTCATGTGGTTATTGATTATTAGAGCTTATTAATGGACAGTACTTATTGGGGGCAAGCCCAAACCTAAACATTGTGTTCGGAAACAAATAGGTTTCGAATTCGAGCAAAAAGGGAAGCAAGATGGTTCATTGCAGAGATATATGAAGATAGACAAGTGCCTAAATAATACCTTAGATTTCTACCCTACTTCAAGAAATAACTTAATTTATTTATATTATTTTTTTAATACAATAATATGTGAAGCCGAAGATTCAAATCCTAGTCGAACTATGTCCAAATTAACATAAATAATTTTATTTAAAATCTTTAACGTAATGATCAACCTTCCAACCGCTATTGTGATTCACAATATATAACAATGGGCAAAATCAAGCAATTGAAATTTTTTTTGGTTTGAAATCAAGTCATGGGTGAACCACATGTCATTTACATGAATTAGGCTCAATTTTTTCCAACCATGTGTGGGATGTTGATTCAATCTCTGACCTTTTGATCGAGATATAATTAATACTTTAACTAGTTAAATTATATTTAAGTTAGCAAAAAATGTTTATAGGACTTTAAACCCTCGTAAATTTCGAAAGAGTTTATAGATTCTAGGAAAGAAAAAGTCTTTACGGATGCTCCCAAGGCATAAAATGAAAAGTCATTATCAATACTTCAATCATAGAGTTTGTGGAAATGTGTAAAATCTGGAAACTCACTGTTCATGCATGCAAATTGCAACACGAGTTCTAATATATGTGGATATATTAGATGAAGAGATTTACTGAGGAACTGATCAATGTAAAATTCTCTCAAATATATGGGAAATTTTTGTATTACAAAATTAAATTACCAAGAAATATTTGAACTCTACCCATCATGGAATTTTAATTACCCTCCATATAGGTGGATTTTTTTTCTTGGGGAAGTAAATAGTTAACATTATACCATAATCAATTAATAAGTATTCTAATTAATTATACTTATTATTTTTAATTAACTATTAATTAATATTTATTGGTGCATTAGTCTTAAAATTTTTATTATTGTATTCTTTATTACTAGTTTACTATTAACATTTTAGTTAATTTAAACTCAATTTATTATTTCTTAATAATTAAATTAAATTATTAAGTATTACCTTTAATAAACTATTTATTCATTCATATTTTTTAATTAATTGATTAATGAGTAAATATTGCAATATATTAAATAATACTAATTTTAATTTATAATTGATATCACATAATTTATTGATTAATTAGCATTAGTTTACGCTCTCACATTCAAATGAATTCTTTAAATAAATATAATTCATAGTCTCGAACTAACATGGCTCGTGAAACAAACATATTATTTTTAATTCCCGGAGATTAGATTTAACTTTCAAATATGAAATATCCCATACCTGATAAACAAGAATTGTCATACAAACAAGTTGTTAATGAGATTCTGTTGGGAAAATTTAGGGCGCGTATTGATCTAGTAAACACGCGTTTTAATTTTAGAGATTCGTTTTTAAAAAAGATTCTGAAAATAACTTTTTAATGTTTTTAGTATTTTCAGATTCAGAATTTGAAAATTTTAACGTGCAGAATTATATTAGATAAAAGACTTTGATAAATATATTAGTTTACATTATAAACTCATTTTATGATGGTTAAAATTAAAACATGTAAAATATAATGCATTCTAAATAATATACCATTGTAAAATAATAATTATACAAATTCATAAAAATGTTAATAAATTAATTAATATAACTTTAAATTAAACTAAATATTTAGTTTGTAACTGTTACTAGTTTAGAAATATATTACTAAACACACATTCAACAATTTTTTAAATTTAGATTCAATTATCAAATTTGCTACCAAACACAAATATTAAAACAAAGAATACCACTCTAATTTTCATTGAAAATCTTGTTTTCAGATTTCTATTTTCTAATTATCAACCAAATGCACCCTTACTTACCAATAATATTTTCCCATTCCACAATTCGTTGAAAAACACAATTAACCACAATAATAAAAGAAAAATAGGGAAAACATAGAAACAACACAATCAAATTTATATTGGTTCACCCAACTATGTATACGTCCAATTTTCTACGACAACGGGTTCTACTTATGATATTGAGATAAATACAATGGCTTATACAATATCTCAAACCTAGAGGTCTCAACAAAAGCGAAAGCTTAGGAAACTACAACAATAAAATTTTAGGAAATATGAATGAAAAACCAAATACTCCACGATAATTGGTTGTCTACGTCTGATCTCTATAACTCTGCCAAAGCACTGCCCTAGCACCCCCACTGATTCTGTGCAATTAGACAGCACAACCGCCACGCAAAATGTGCTAACACATACATATTTTCGGCCGCCCTCCTCAATTGTACCACTTACGGCTAGGTCAAAAAAAACTTACATATATATGACAGGTTTTGGTTTTGCAAACAAGAATAAAGAAAAGTTCTTTAAAAAATAAATAAATAAAGAAAAGTTTTGAGATTTTTTATTAATTTTTATTTTAGGCCCATTTAGCTTTTGTCTCAACATCTCAATAGATTAGAGGCATGACGGATGGTAGATTTATTGTCCTAACACATGGTGGGTGGGGATGGCGGATAAAGATGGATATCTTTGTAAATTTGGTGAAGTAAGAAAAGTTTAGTGGCAGTAGAGGCTACCCGATACTCAACTTCAATAGAGGACCGAGAGACTATGGATTGTTTCTTGGCACCTCACGAGATGAGATTACAGCCCAAGCAAATTATGAAAAAGTTGATCCAGACGATTACAAACCCAATTAGAGTAGAAGAAGACTTGAAGGTCTAGAAAATCAAGCAATAAGTATATGCTATAGGAAATAAAGCCCTAGATATGTCAAAAAAATGTATTTTAGAGTTGAAATAAATATCATCCGTATATATTAACTTAAATTATTGTTTATTTTACTAATCTTATTTCAGTAAATTTGAAATTTAAGTATTTAATTACTTGAATTGAATCAAATCTTTAGATTTAATTATGTAAATTATTAATAATTTAAAAGTTATATATATGAATTCAATCGTTACTTTGAAATTTTAAAGACTAATTCATTATTTAACAAAAATTCAATAACTAAATGTGTTTTTAATCTAAATTATATATTGGGTGGATCTCTACTAAATGATGTCGAAGAAGTCAAATGATTATATCAAGAAGGAAATACTTCATTCAAACTAAAACACAAAGCTGAGGAACCAAATTTCAGCGATTAAAACTCGCAATTAATTGAGTTAACTTACTATCTTTATTTAAAGTTTTAAGCCATAAATTTCTTTTGTCAAACAAATTTTCTTCTGCGAGAAAATGAACAACAATTTAATATTGAGTTTGACGGCCACAGCTTTGTGGTGGACCTTCATTTGACCTAGCTACAAGGAATAAAGACTCAATTCAATATGCTGTCGTTTCAGGGTTGCGAGTGGACAAGGTATGTCTTGATCGCCGCCGTGCTGAACCCATTGAAACTGGACCCCGCCGCCGCCGTGTACGCACCCATATTCGGAAAAACCAGCCAATCGCCGACCTCCAACTCCGGCAGCTGATGCCCCGTCAAAACAGTGTCCAGCGCGTCGCACGTGGGCCCGAACACGGTGGCGCCGTACTTCCTCGCTCCGCCGCACGTGGGGTTTTTCCGGCTGGATTTGCAGGCCATCGGCGTACACGTCACCGTCGCGTGGTCGTACAGTAAGCAGTTCATAGACCCGTAGATCCCGTCGTTAATCCAATATTCCCTCACCTCTCCCCTCACCCGTTTTCCGATTATATTGGCGGCCAGAGTGAACGCCGATTCTGCAAAAAACCGCCCCGGTTCAGCCATGGCCGTGAATTTCACTTCCGCCGGAAAATACTTCCCCATCGCCGATTTCACGGTCGCGGCCGCTTCCTCGAATTGCGGTCCCGCCGTGAATCCGCCGCCGATGTTGAGCACATTCATCGGCGGCAGGCCAAGTTGGACCGCTGTATCAAAAACCCCTCTTGCGGCGGCGATAGCGGCCCGATAAGCCCCTGCTTCAGTGGCCCCACTTCCAATGTGGAACGAAACGCCGGCGACGGCAAGATCAGCATCTTTCGCGGCTTGGAGGAGGGGCGTGATTTCTTCAGGAAGCGCACCGTATTTTGGGCCCAACGGGCACCGGGCGCCGCCGTCGTCCGGCGATTTGATCCGAATCAACAGCGCCGATTTCGGGTGGCACCGCCGGATTTTCTCGACTTCTTCGATAGAATCGAAAGTGGTCAAATTGACGCCGACGGAGGCGGCGAATTTGATATGGGACTCTGCTTTACAAGGATTGGCGAAAACGATCCGGTCCGGTGAGACTCCGAAGGCGAGGACGGCTTCGATTTCGGYGCGGCTGGCGCAGTCGAAATTGGAACCGAGGGCCGCCATGGCGCCGAGGAGAGCCGGGTCAGGGTTGCACTTGACGGCGTAGAAAGGGCGGACGGCGGGAAGCGAGCGGGTCCAGCGGTCCATTAGGCCGACGAGAACGGCCAAATCGAAGACGTAGAATGGGTCGTCGGAATGTTGGTTGTTGAGAGCAATGGATTGGAGAAATTGGATCATCCCATCTTCAGAAATGGTAGTGATGGCTTTTCCTCTGAGGCCCGGCGCGATCTGGAGAAGATGGAGCTTCTTGGGGTCGGCGGCAATGGCTCGCAGAAGGTGGTCGACGGCCATGGCAGGGCAATCAGAGGAGAGGCAGGAAAAACAGAGGAGGGAAGACAAGTATTTAAAGGGATTGTTGAACTCGTGAATTGAAAGGGAAAGGTGAAATGGATTTTACCAATACCGTGATCTACTTCAAACTTGTCAGCTCCTAAAAAATCAAAATGTTTGATTAATGTGATTTGATTTATTTGAACCTTTTTTTTTTCTTCTTTTGAAAAAGAAGATTTCATTCAATAAAACTTGCCTCCCACGTCTCGTAATTGCCAATTTTTCCTTAGTTTAAGCCAATTCTCAACCGTCACTGTCCCGAGTAACTCAATTGAATAAATATTTAGATACCAACTTGAATCTCTCTCAGCGGGTTAAAGCGATTTTGTGTTTGAGTTAATATTATTGTAAATTAACATTGAAATATTAATAATAATATTTAAATATTTTCTGTTTTCCATTATTAAAGCACCTAAATATTATTTTTCATTAATTTTTATGAGGCCACAGATTTTAGTCTAAACAAGAGTTACTATGTAATATATCTTCAATTTATTTGGTTATTCTATTTAGTTTTGGGTGCGTTGTAGGTACGTTTTATATTTATTTATGAGAAATACTTACTTCATGTTTGGGCTACGAGAATTTCTTGTAGCCTAAGACGTGACCAATGAGAAATTTACATCTTCGTGAGTCTGAGATATTATTTTCAAATTTTAATTTTTGGAAAATAGTATATAAATGCTATTTAGTATTGGACCATTTCTGGATGTATGGAAATATTGCTGCCGCCTAGAATGAGCTAAGTATTTCTCTCTTTTTATCTATTAAATTGATTTTATTTGGTTTTATTTATTGATTTTGTTACATAGTTTTAATAATAGTAAAAGTAGTAAAGTTTGTTTTTGTTTTTGAAATTTGTTCAAGAATTCAAATATACTCTTATTTTCAATTTTTTTCAAAATACATAATAAATATCAAAAAATAAATATATCTTTAAATTTTTAATAAACCTGTCTAGTTTTTTAATTTAAATTTTGAGAGAACAGACAGCGATATTATAGAACACGTTTCTCTTTAAAAAATAATTACTAAATGCGACTTTGTAAAGGCCAAAATTCAAAAACTCCCACTTTTCGAGACATTTTCCGCTATAAAATCAGGTTGCTGTTGCAGTTCCCAAGTCCCAAGGGCGGTTTCGTGCATATAAAAATAAAACGCTTAAATCTATTTAATCTTTCATTTCTAATAAGCTTCAACTAATTGCCATATTTAACACTTTAATTACTTAATTAAGAGTGTTAAGAATGTATTCTTCAAAAAAACCATTTCGTTTTCTATTTTTAGCTTTTGAAAAACAAAATTATTTGATAATTGTTTTTTTATTTTTTAAAAATGATTTAAAAATTCCACGTAAATTTCAAAAACAAAATAGAGTAGTTTTTCGTTTTCTATTTTCGTTTTTTAATAACAAAGTTATTTGATAATTGTTTTTTTTTTACTTTTTAAAAATGATTTCAAAATTTTAGGTAAATTTCAAAAACAAAATAGAGTAGCTTTATAAAACAAATTTCCGTTTTTTTTTTAAGATTTGTTATATATTTTTATGATATGATTTTGAGTATTTTACTAGTGTAATTCTTTTGTAATAATTTATTGGTTACTACAACATTTTTATAATCGTCTTTGGAGAGAATATTAGTTTTATCACATATTTAAATATTAGAATAGAATGAAATTTGAAAGTTAACAAAAACAGAAACTTCATTAAAGTTTTAGAAAATTGAAATTAATTAATAAAAGAATGTTATTGAAGGGGTCTCAATTTTAAAATCAAAATAGTAAAAAATATTTGGGTAAACTTGTGCCACTAAAGATTAAACGTGTGGTATGAAATGTGAATATTTTAATATAGAGATGGTTTCAAAATGTAGGATCAGTTTCGTGTTGGCAGCGGCATGGCATGTGCTTTGAGACTTTCGCTCTTTCACTTCCATTTTTCTACCTTTGTGTTCCATTCAATATTGTGCGCTACATGACTAAGATGGCATCAATCGCAACAATTTGGTTTTGGTCTCCGACATTGATAGCTCTCGTTCTCGTAGACACCTACCCGAAAAGAAATCTGCACACAACGAGTTTAATTTGTTGCAAACTCCACCCCACTTTGATGTTTAAGTTAGCAAAAAAGTTTGTAAAAAGTCAAGATTTGAGAGCATATCTTGCCTTTTATTATTTGAAGAGATAGTTTCTTTGGGTTGGTTCGAATAGATAGGTTCGGTTGGGTTTGGGTTGTCTCGAGTTTGGTCTGGTCTGGCTAGGTGGTTCGACCTACATGGTTACCCACCCATGTGAGTAATTTGACTCATAATAGTAGATACTCTATATCTAGGTTTAAGTTTACTTGATAAACTACTTAGAGAAGTTTGCTTGATAAACTACTTAGAACTACTTAGTATTCGACTAAATCGTCGTCTTACTTGAGAATTTTATAGTCGGACTTCACTATTAACTCATTTTCGCAACACAAAAGCGTTCCTCCTTGCATTGCTCTCCTTCAATAAATAAGAGCTTTTAGTGGAATCCATCAACCATAACCAAATGTTTTTTTCCAGTTTGGTACGTTGATAGTTACAAATGAGTTAGTCCCTTGGAAAATAATTTATACATTTCTACTTGGTTAGAATTTTAACTTCCTACACATTAAAGATCTCCGTACAAACAATAGAAGAATTAGTTGGATAATAGCAAAAGAGGGGTGCTATTGTCGTGAATAAACATCCCATGTGCTTATTAATTAGTAATTAATATATTTTTTATTAACTGTTTTACTAAATAAAAAATTAAATATTGAATATTTTTTAAAACTAATTATTAGTAGTAAAAGAATTTTCATTAAAAAAAGATATAAATTATATATATTTATTACTCTTTCAATTAATTATTTCTCATTGTTTTGTACTTTTTATATATATCTATTACTCTTTTAATTGATAAACTATTAATTAATTATTGATACATTAGACATAATAAGTTTTTATTATTACATTTATAATTAATATTTTAAATTGATTAATGATTTGGTATTAACATTGTAATTAATTCAAACTCAATTTAATTATTAAGTATTAAATTTTTTTTGTACTAAAAAAAATAATGTAAAAACTATTTATTTATTCATATTTTTAAATAATTGGTTAGTATTTAAAACTAGGATACGATTGCTGCCCATATAGGTGGGGTTTTTATGTTTGGTAAATGAATTAATTAGTAATTATTATTTTTAATTAACTATTAATTAGTTATTAACATTTTAACCGCCTCAATGAATTTTAATTATTACAGTTATATTTATAATTTTATATTATTTGCAATAATTTTGTAACACTAATGAGGATATATAATTGATCAAATATTTCTATATTACATATTACATAAAAACGCAAATAAAACATTATTTAAAAACGTAAATGTGACATTTGCATGCGACCGTTCTTTACTTCTTTTTAATTTCTTTTGGGCTAAGAGTTAAATTTTTGGGTTTGTCTCGCCACATATCCACCAACTTTTAGATCCTCACCATTTTGTAAATTTTTTCCATGTATTTAAAGTATAGTGTGATCATAACATCTTTGATTAATTCATAACTTAAAATATAAACATTTTGAAAAATGATATAGATACGAAAATAAAAACCTTAATAAGTAAATTAATATTTTTTTCATGATCAAATATTTTAAATAATTTTAAAATTACAATACCACTAATATCAGAAGAGGAAAAAAAAAAAACTGGATTACATATATACAACCCTTTAGCCATGATTGTAAAACTAGCCTTAATTTATTTAAATGGAAGAGATCAGTGCATTAAGTAATACTATTTATTACTATGGTATGAAATAAGCAAGATGGGTGGAAATTGCGGATGTGGAAAACCCACTGAAGCTGGACCCGGTTGCTGACGTGTAGGAGCCCATGTTTGGAAACAGCAGCCAATCACCCACCTTCAAGTCCGGTAGCCAGTAAGCATCCGAAATGGTATCAAAGGCGTCACGTGTCGGGCCAAACACGGTGGACTTGTACAGTTCAGCGTTCCCACATGTCGGATCTTGAGGGTTTGAGGTGGTGGCTAGTGGGGTGCACGTGAGAACCGCGTGATCGTTGACGATGCAATTCATGGAGCCGTATATCCCATCCGTTATCCAATACTCTCTAAAATCTCCTCTCACTCGCTTCCCAATTATATTGGTCGCCAACGTGAAAACTCTCTCTGCAAAAAGCCGCCCTGGCTCCGCCATTATGCTCACCCCTTCCTCGCCGGAAAAGTGCTTCTCAATTGCTTCTTTAACGGCTGTGGCTGCAGCCTCGAAATGCACCCCCGCGGTGAATCCGCCCCCGATGTTCAGCACCTGTTAAGAATATGAATAAATTCTTCTTTTTTTTCTTTGCTTCACAAAGAAATGTAAAAAAAAATTATACTAACCGAATTTTGATTTTGGTTTCCTATTTGAAAGGTTATAGTTACCATTAATTTAGTATGTTTGTCGCCGTTCTTAAAAATAGCATTGATATAAGTTCTTAAAAACTTTTTAAGTTTCGGAGTGATATAAATTTTTTTTTAATATAAATTCCTAAACTTTCCAATTCCAATGCGTATTTGAGATGTTAAAAGTGTTTCAAACTTAGAATTAAAAGTTTAGACACTTAAAAATTTCCAGATCTACTATACTCAACTTTGAGAATTTAAGGATGTATTAAATATTTTTAAAGTTTATGGACACATTCAATTCTTAGGAGCTAAAAAAATCAAACTATTAAATTTAAATTTAACTAGAGGATAAATATAAACTTTTTGAATTTAGGGATGATTCAACGTCACCTTCATCTTTGGCATCCCTAGTCGAACTGCTGCGTCAAACACAGCTTTGGCAGCGGCTACAGCCACATGATAAGCACCTGCATCGCTGCGTCCGCTCCCGATATGGAACGAGACGCCAACGACATCGAGGTGGGCAGCATGAGCAGCTTGAAGAAGCGGCAGTATCTCGGCGGGGAATGCCCCACATTTGGAGCTCAAAGGGGAGCGCGCGGCACTATCGTCCACAACTTTGATTCGAATGAGCAATGCAGATTTGGGATGCCATTTTCTGATCTTGTCTACTTCAGCCATGGAGTCGAAAGTGGTCAAGTTAACACCAACGGTGGCAGCGTACTTGATGTGGGACTCGGCCTTGCATGGGTTGGCAAAGATGATTCGGTTGGGTGAGACCCCGAGAGCCAGGACCGATTCGATCTCGGCTCGGCTGCTGCAGTCGAAGTTCGAGCTGAGGGCGGCCATGGCACCGAGGAGGGCCGTGTTTGGGTTGCACTTGACGTAGTAATATGGCTGAATCATGGGGAGAGCACGAGCCCAGTCGTTGATAAGACTGATGAGAAGTCCTAGATCAAGCACGTAAAATGGTTCTTTGGATTCATCAAATTTCTGATCTTTAGGGAGGGTTATTAGTACCTTTAGCCATGTTTCTAATTTAAAGATGTGATGCCTAGTCTGATATATAACCGTGTTTGTATTCGGTTTCTAATATTTAATTTTTTAATATCTATTTTTTAGTAAAAACAAATATATTTATTATTATTGGGTAAAATCTAGGTGTCACGTCCCTAAAAAGAAATAGTCTAGGTGTCATGAGTCATAAGTATCATGCAGCCATGTGGATTGGTTTAGAAAAGACCAAACCCAATATCAAGCAACTGGGCCCAATTTCGGTGCAACGACGAGCGCAGTTGCACATCTCGTACGAATGATAGCTAGCCGGCAGGGTGCTAACATCGTGTACTCAAATCGCAACACACGTCTTAGATGATCGTCCAGGATCGCCTCTCACCCTCCATATATAGGGAAGATAGCAACTCTAATAGACATAAGCCGTCTTTTCCTACGCAGCTCATATCGTGAGGATTTGATACACCCAACTCGTAAGCAGACTCTCATACCCTCGAGATTACTGTCATTCTACTTTATTGACTTCATACTCGTCTGCTCTCAATTTGAATTCCAACTTAAATATTAGAGTGCATTTGGTAAAGCACCACACTAGTGCTAGATTGATACCAAGAACTTAGAGATGAAGGCATACGTGACATCAACGTAGAGTGTAATTTATTAAAAAAAAATTATACGCTAGGAAGAATAACTAAATATATTAAATATTGTATAAATAAACATGTTAAAATTTATTATGACAATTACGTGAAAAATATTATAACAAACCAAATATATAATCATGCTCTGAAATTATTGAAACTAAAAAGCATAAAGATCATAAAGTGATAGAACTAAAAAGAAATTCATGTGGCTACAATGTGAATATGTGTTCTAAAGTAGATTTCTGTCTCACCTGTGTTTCAGATATAGGGGCATAAAAACCAAAAGGCCACTTGACTCCTGGATAATAAAAAAAAATTATTCAAATAAAAATAAACGTCTACCTCCCAGTCCCAAAGATACAACCGCTGAACTTTACCGGTAGATGTGGAAATGGTAGGAGCCATCGTTTATATAAGTGTGGAACTGGTGCTCACGAAATAAATAATTACGAAATTTAATATTTCATAGGTGTGGGGGCTCGTATTAATTACTAAAATTAATAACGGTGTTATTAATTTTACAAATTTGATTGATCGTTTAAATTTTACCTTCAATTTCTCATTTATCTATCCACCATTTTGAGCAACTTGAATCTCTAAAAAGAATAAATAACCTAAAATTTTTGCTAGCATAAATTTAATATGTTAAAAAAATGGTGAAAAAAACCATGACATAATTAGAAAAAAAAATGTCACGACTTTTCATTTCTTTTTAAGTCTCTTTTGCATTTCATTTGAGTTTAAGAATTTATTTTAGTTAATATATGTTGAAGTATTTACTTTTTTCTTTGAAATATTTACATAAATAGCACAAATATTAAGTGCCCATTTGAATTATAGGTTTTTTTCTCTCTCTAAATTAAAGCAGATGGTAGGTTTGTCGGTATAAATACTGAATATTTGGAATATTTAAATAATATGCAAGGCGTAGTTTGATAGAGCATGGGTTTTTGGTTTTTGGTTTCTATTTTCTAAGTACGAAAACAAAAATGTTTTGATTTTTAAGAAAAAAAACATATTAGGATCCCAGTCAACATGAATAATATAATAAAAGTAAATAAATTTTATCATGCATATCTTTCAAATCTTCTATTTTAGTTTCTAAACTTTTTATATGTTATTTGATTAGTTTTAAATTTTGTATAAGAAATGATTTTATTAACCCTATTATCATTAATTTTTTAACAAATTAATTTTAAAAAATATGACATAGGATAGATCTTTTGTTTAACTTAGATCAATAAATGTCTATATAAACAAGTGTATTTAAAAGCTACCTGTAGTATGTTTCCAAGTATGTTTTTATTAAATGATTAATGAAAAATTTTCAATATTCACTAAAGTTAAACGAATTTTTAATGTAAAATTTAAAGACTATAGCAAAACATTCAAAAACTACGAGACAAATAAAACATATGAAAAATTGAGGAAAACAAAACGAAACATGAATTTAACCAAAACGAAATGCGTGCGAAAATTCAAGGTAAAAGAAAAAGTAATTTTTTTTTTAGTAGAACAAGTAACTAATGGTTGGCTAAGACTTTTTAATATTGCATTGATGAAAAAAGTATAACATAATGAAGTTTAATCTACCTAATTCTTTTTACTAATTTTCTTCTTTTTAATAAAGGGAGAATTTAAAATTTTTATATATCCCCTAAAGTTTACAAGACGTGTCTATATTTTTACCTTACACAATCGATTTCAACCAATTGCACCTATTACTTGGATAAATGATGCTTTTTCTAAAAGCCTTTTGTTTGACTTTTTAAAGAATTCTTTGAAAAAAAATTAAAAGAAGAAAAAAACCCTCATATACAAATTAATTTTTAATTCTCCAATATGATTAATTAAACATGAATAAGATAAATCACTGAAATTTGATGTAAGTCGCTTTAATACTAAGTAAATAAAATTGACTTTAACTTAAATTAATAACTAAAAATTTATCATAAAATATTAAAGGTTAAGATAACCTAAAATTATCTTAACTAAAATTTATTAAAAATCATTGACCTAAACTGGATTAGATTATATATATTTGGTTGGCTTAGCTAAAAAAAAAGGAAAAAAACAAACAATAACAATATAAAATTACGAAAATCCATTTTTCTACGACATGTGGAGTGAGGAATCAAATTCACAAGTATCTTATTGGAGATATATTGCAATTGTCACTGAGTTACGATTGTTTAATAGTAATTTTTCAATCTAAATCATTTATATATGTTATTCCTACAAAATCATTTATAAACTTTGAGATAAAAGTGTTATTAAAAAAAACCTTGGAGATAAAATTTATATGAGATTATTCCCTAACTATTAAATTGACAATTTCATTGATTAGATACATAAATATTTAATATAAAATTAAATTATAAACTAATTTTATTTAAATATTTTAATGGTGACATTTAATTCTCATTAATAAACTTTATTTTCTTATATAAAAAACATAGTTAGATTTTACATGACACGTGTTAAAGGAAAGAAATTTTGATTTATCCCTTCCCCATTTTTAATAGGTATTATATTAATAATATAATTAAATTAAAAATTAGGAGAAAAATAAACTTTTATCTTTTTCAATTTTCACCCGGAACTTTTCAGTTCAATTTCATCGAATTAGAGCACCTATAAAGTATTGCTATTTACACCCTATATTCATTTAAGGCTAATTTACCCATCAATTTTAATGAAAATCAATATGAAATTTTAATCGGAGTATAGTTCAACTAGTCAAGACATCTATCTCCGACTAAAAACTCATGAGTTCGAATCCTCAATCTTACATGTTGTACTAAAGAAAAAAGAAAAGCAATGTAAAATATTTTTTTTAAAAAAAAGTCACTAATTTCAATGAAATCAAGAAACGCGTTATTCTTTTAATATACTTAAAAAAGAGTATTATTTTACAAATAAGTTTGAAATGAAACATTATATTCAAAAAACCGTAATTTTTAGTATTGTTTTTATTGGAAATCCTATCCATTTAGAGGAAGAAATATGTTTCATAATTCATTCAATGGATGTGAGAATACTTTTTGAAGGATTCTTCAAATGAAAACTTTTCAGAGGGTAAAGTTTGCAACATTTTTTTTTAGTTTAATGTAATTATTACAACATTAATCTAAGTTTAAGGTACACAATGGGATGAAATTGAAAAATGAGGGTAAAGATTGATATCTCACCAAGTTTCCACAATTGAAGATGCAATTTGGAAAAGATTTGAAGTGTACAATTTGCTAGAGATTTGGAGTGTATAAGAGAATGCAACTACTTATGGAGATGATGCAAGTTCATATTCAAAAGATGAAGCGCACCACACGCGAGCTTCCATGCATTCTGCACTTTAGGCGAAATTTTTATTTTTTATTTTTGGAGATATGGTAGGATGTGAGATATATTATGCCGAAAAAAAATTGATCAAAAGAAATTGTAATGGAGGATATATATGCATTTTTTTTTTCAAAATTGATGCCCTGTGGCGTAGGTTAATTGGATCCATATAATTAGTATTTTATCGTCTGGGTTAAGCAACATTGTGGTCAGAACCAGACTCAAACTTGAAATCTGAGAAACTATCCTGAACCTTTACCACTGTGCCACCTTACAAGACTAATGGAGGAGATATTCACCTAGAATTTAATATATCCACTATTTCTACATGATTTTTTTCTACTATAATGGTACCACCTTTCAACAAATTGTTTTATTAGTTTCAAGAATAACACATAACACATGCAGATGAAGATTTGAACTTCCGATTTTTTARTCGAAGATATATCTTTAATAGTTGAGTTATCTTTCATCGATTCCTTCCAACCTATTGCTATGGCATTAATAGGACTACTTCTACAACCTTTCTACTAAAAATTGGTAAAAACAGGAGTAAAATTTTGATGGTTCTCCGACTGAAATCTAAAATATGTGATGGAATATAATAAAATTTGATAAATTTCTTTTTTAATGTTTTGAATTTGAAATAGGATGGATACAAAACAAAATGATTTGGATTTTTTATTATTTGTATATAAAAACATTGGAAATAAAATTATAGAATAAATGTTTTCTAGTTTTGGTGTCGATTGAATAAGGACGGAAAGGTAATTTAAGCAAATTAAGAAGTGGCCAGTGATAAGATTAGGTTACTTTCTGTAAATATCATCCTATTTCAGTACTTTTGTAATTATTTTATATCTAGGTCTGCATATGAAAAAAAAAAATCTCTAAATTTTAATGTTTCCTTTTTAATCTTTTTAATAATATATTTTGATGTCATTAATATAATGAATTAAAAAATAATCAATTCAAAGTGTAAACGCCTGCTTACATATATTTGAAATATCAATAATATAAAGTAGGTACTAAGCACTATATTTGACATAAAAGTTTGATGATTATTCCAACAAATTTGACTTATGTAATTCACAACAGCATGGAAAATATGAAGTACATATGTGTCACATGCAAAGAAATGAACTTACCATATACTAAAATGTGCATTTCCAAAATTCATTTTGTATCAAATAAAACCTTGTCACATAAGTTTAATTTTAATGGGTCATCCATGCATGGAGTATTATTTATAGATATATGAAAAATCCATTTTATATATCAACAAATGGTATCATTTGATAAATGTATAAAAACAGAACAATGAGAACAAATTCTTATATGAGAACTTTAAAATTACTAACTTTACCAGTTAAAAGCTAGTAAAAAACACAACTTTAGCCTTATCTATAGTCTCAAAAGTTTCCATAAATTTAATAATATACTTGTTAAATAACCATCATTATATCCCAAAACTTTAGCCTCGAGGGCTATAAATGTTTCAATAGTCCCTTCGCATATGAGTTCGAATGTTAATAATTATTTGAATGATGAAATCTAGTACAAAAATAAATTATTATTAATAAAAAGAAAATAACATCATAGATGTACGTTCCAACTTAGGACTTTCTTACTGAGTTAAAATCCCAAACATGGTATCATAAATCCCATCTGTGGATCTTGAAAATTTTTGACATTTGAACAAAAAAACATACCAAATAGTGTAGAAAACAAACATATCAAAAGAAAGTATACCTGACAGGATTTCAATCTTGAGAGGGACACTTTCAAGATAAAATGAAAGGGTGCTAAGATATTGGCGCGGCTCAATCAGAACTCAGCTAAACTTTAAACCCACCACTTGCGGCCGGGCAGCCACTGTATGCAGGAACGGCTAGCACTGGCGGTGCGGTTACTGAATCTGAGTGAACCGGGCCAATATCACAGCAGCTATTTCAAAACAAACAAACAGCTCATCTACTCGTTGAGAAAATGGCTCAATATGAACACTTTGGAGGAAGAAGAAGAAGGGTTGCATTATTGGCATAGAGAGGAGATTGAGAAGGAGAGAAGAGAGATTTGTGGGAGTGGGGAATGTCTGAGAGAGGGAATTTAAGAGAGAGTGGTGGGAGGGGCAGAGGGGGGTTTTGAAAGAGCATTAAAGGCAGTGGACAACCAAAACCCTCCCAAAGGACCAAAGCCTTCAATGAGGGGCAGAAGCCAGCCATGAATTTGGATATTCCCACTCCTTTACAATTTCAAACTATGAACCAACCAAAATCAAACCCTAACAAATTTATTAAGCCCCTGCTTTTCCCTATGTTAGTTTATTTTAGACAAAATTTAAAATAATAATAAAATTGTGTATTCAACTTTCTTGTATGGGGTTAGCTAGTTTTCAGTCATACTTTCAAATTCAATTTTATTGAGATCTTGTTCTGGGGTTAAGTCTTGTTCTTGTCCGTTGGACTTTCTTATTTCATGAAATGACTAGGCAAAAATAAGAGTGGATTGTGTAATATACTATACCCTTTTTGCTATAAAGCAATGTATCAATTCTCTTGTAGATTTCTCAAACCATGTTAAATCAATCTTTGTTTGTTTATCTAATAAGCAAACAACATCATTTTTTAGTTTGTGGTATAATAATAGAGACCACGTAAAATTACCATTCGAAATTCAAAGACGACACAATTGACTTTTTTTTAAGTGTAGGAATCAAATAGAGATGAAACTATAAAAGTTTAAAGATTGACTTTTTAACAGCTTTAACCAACTCTCAGACATTATGTTTTAGTCTCTAAACTTTGCATAAATTATATTCTGGTTTTTTGTGTTAATTTTTTTAACAAAATGTTTAATGAAAAAATGGTATAGATAATTGTTTTATTTATTTAGTTGATCAATAGATGTCTTAAATTGGACAAAGTGTTTGAACTCGTATGATTTAGGTTTAATGTTTGATTGGTGAACCCAAAAGAGACATCATCTTAAGAACATGTTAATTAAGAATCTCACATTCAAAAGATAAGATCAGACCTAACAATGATTTATAACATAAATAAACTACCCCTCCCCTTGCGAATTGGTTTTAAGATAGAACTCCATAAATTTTGATATGGTATTAGAGTTCAAAACCTAGAATGAGTATTCGAGATCTGACCAAAATTGTTGAAGGTGAACCCAAAAAGAGAGATCATCTTGAAGAGTGAACAATAAGAACTAGAATAGTATTATTTTATCCCAAGCTCGATGGTTAAAATTAATAGATTAAGATAACAAACCATTCTTCTTTGTCAAGTTTATAAACTAACAAGATATTTAAAAAGTTTAGAAACTAATTAAAACACAACATTGTTTGAAAGTTAAAAGGACTAAAATAGTGCAATTTCAAAGCGTTAAGGATTAAAACATTATAGGCATATATCATAAAAATGTTTGAAATATATGTTTTTTTAAAAGGTTTGAATTATATATTTATTTCAAACATTCAAGCCAATTAATTAACAATGCTCACTTGAGTAGGTAATAAGTAGTTAGATACCAAATATATCTTTCTTTATGGGTTACAAATTTGGATATTCATCTGTTTCTTTCCTTTCTTTTTTTTTTTTTCAAATGAAGTCTGATAGAGGATTCTGGACAAG